TATTCGAATCTTGCCAACTAAAGTAGCGCACTAATAGAGTCTTCATTAAAAAAGTGATCATTCTCTCTCTTAAACTATGAATGATGCGGATTTTTTTTAAATTTAAGGAACAAAAAGGGCGTCGTCTAAAAAATATCTTCCGCCAATCTTTGAAGGATGTCTTCTATTAAAATTTTATCACCCTAGCTCTAAAACTGTGGAAGAGAACATTTGAGAACATTGAGAACATTTTTGGATCGTTTTTTAAAGGAGGACTATGGAGGTTATGCATAGTTTTTCCCCTAGAGGACGTGACTCGAAAATTGTATAACTTTATCCGACACAGCTAAGCCTTCAGGTTATATAGCAAAATTTGAGTCTCTGGCTTCATGCGTTTAATCGGACGATCATTGCACAAAACCAATATACCCCTTTTCACGCGGCGAGCGTGTAGAAAAACAATGTAAAGAACTGGCTCTAATAGCTCTTGCCTCGGCCTGGTCGGGCCTGGTCTGGTCGGGCCCGGTCTGGTCTGGCCAACTGATGATAAGCATCGCGCGCGCATGTGCACAAAACAAATTGCAAAAAACAAACACAAATACACGCACATACACATACAGACACACATACGCATACACACACGCACACCCAGTTACATATAGACAAACAGAGGCCGAACAGAAAATTGATTACCCATTTGGGCCATTGCATTTCGTCGACTGCCGCAGTCATGGCTCACCCATATAGACAGCACATGAGTAAGAGTGCTCTAGTCAAGGCTGCCCGACTAGTGGATACCCTGTACCCAGCAGAGAGCTGTCGTTACCTGCATACATATACAAGCCGCAAGCAGCGCACTTCTTTTAAAACATGCTTTATAACATGCTCTATTAAAAATCTTCGGTCCCATAATCATTAAGAAGAACTCTGGATAAGTTATCGACACTTTTAAAATTCAAGCAAAAACTTAAAAAAAAAACTAGAATTTTCCAGCTTTTATAGCTCCGGAAAACTAATCGCTTCTACACATTGACAATCTATAGATTAGTGCTAATCAATAACATACTTATAATCAAATACCTTATCTAGTCTGAAATACCTCCTTCTGCACATTACATAGCTTGGCATAAAACCAATATAACTATATTTATTTTGCAATTGCAATGGGCACAGGGTATAAATAGCTGGAGCGCACATGCACGTCCAACTGGCGACCGACTTACCAACTTCGGGCACAGCTTCCAGACACTGTTGTGGCAGTAGCAGTAGCAAAGGCTGTGGCAGTGGCAATGCCAGTGACAGGCACTCCACAGTCTCAACTATTTATATACGCACAGCAGATGCCATTGCTGTTGCAGTTGCAGTTCTTGTTGTTGTTGTAGCTGTGTCAATGTCAATGTTGTTGGATGCGGCAGGCATAACAATTATTACGCTCTCACGGCTCCAGCTGTAAATAAATATGCAAGCCATGGCCATTAACCAACTTCAATTAAAAATGCAATTTGTTAGAGACACTCGTTGACTAATTTATGGCGGCGGCCCCAAAAGCCGTGGATATGGCTAATATTAATGTTATTATTACTGTTACTGTAATTGCCAGACGCGTCTTATCAATATGCAAGACGCATTGCAGGGCTCGTTTATGTAAACATTGCTGTTACAGTTAATTTAAATGTTGTTGGTAGTCGCGTCTCATCAATATACTGCCAGGTCGCTTTGCAGCTCTCGTTTCTGTAACTGTTACTATTACTGTTAAAGTTAATTTAAACGATATTGTTAATGTTAATTAAAATGTTATTGGGGAACGCATCTCATCAGGTCTTGTTTTCGTTTCTGTTACTTGTAATGTTAATTAAATTGTTATTGGCATACACCCATCTAATCAATATACATGACGCATTTCAGGTCTCGTTTCCGTTCAGCTCGAATGGGCGACCAGGTCGTATCTATCATTGGAATCTGCCCGTGTTGAAGCAGGCGCTGCACAAGAAACCGCATTTTGCGCACGTCTCGGCTGAGGATCGCAATCGTCTGCTGGACATTGAGAAGATACCGACATGGCGCAAACCCTGGGAGAACGATACCATCGAGAAGTCCTTTACAGCGGGCAGCGGAAAATCCAAATATAGGAAATCGTTGAAACAGAAATCTCCCACATATTATGCGCCCGCACAGGCGGTGAACAAGCAGAGTTTCCATAAATATTTTGCTGGCAATGGCAAGCCGAAGGGCTTCTACGTGATCAAGGAGCATCAGACAAAGCCGCAGTTCTATCAGAATATCATATCATAAGTTTAACTTTCATATTTACTTTGTATTCCGCTGTCATTTGACCAGGGCATGCATCTATAAGACTGTGGTGTGGGCATTTGCTAATAATTATATATATTTTTATTTATGTACCACTCGTATAACTATTTAAATATCAGCCTATGGCTAGTAAAACTAACTGCGAGTAGAGTTCCAGTCTAATTTGGACTGTTTTTATTTCGAACATTTTTCCGTCCAATTTCTGCAAAAGTAAAAATGTATTTTTTATAAACAAAAACTGTAACTGTGCTTGTGCCACCCCACGTTGGGCGCCACAACGGCAACTGTGACTAACAATCAACTGGATTTTATTATAAAATAATCAGCTACTCGTATGTTTAAGTGCATGTACGAATTTGTTTAAACAAATAAATATGACGACTGATTTAAAACACACAGTTCTAACTATAGTGGGTGGGTAAAAGAGGGGCTCGAACCACGAATCTCAGCTTTTATTTTAGACATATGGCTTGCTGTTTTGCAGATATGTGGGGAACTCGTAATTGCAGAGTTTAGTTAAGATATCTTAGAAAATAAAACAGTTGTTGAGACAAATATTCAAAAGGTCTTTCCGACCCATTATTACTGTAGAGCAGATTATAAGAAACGAAGATTTGAAACAAAAACTTGGTTCATGGATTTGGAAAACCAGGTTCTCGAATCGAACCTAGGGGCAAGGTTCAAACCAAGCCACAAAATGTTTTTTATGTGCCTGCAGAAACAGTTTATTGACACGGGCAGACGGCCGAAAAAACACAAAGAGTTGACAGCGGAGTGACAGCAGCTCGAGATACAGATACAGTATCTGAAAGAATGCCCAAATGGCGCCTGAGAGCAAAACTTGTACGTCTGTATGTCTTTCTTTTTTCTTTTTTTTTTTTGGCAATTGCCTGTAGCTGCTCAAGCAGCGTAACGTGCGCAATTTTGTTAAGAATTTTTGCAGCTAATTATACGCGAACTCGAAATCGGAGATCGTAAGCCTGGGAGTGCGCTGCTTAAGCCCCGAGCCAGAGCTGCGCAGCCGCCTGGAAACGGAAACGGGGCGAGTGCGAGTGCGAGTGCGAGTAGGTGCGCGCGCGCATGCGCAATATCTCATTTGGCAGATAAAAAGCTTGCGCTCTAGAGATACAGATACAAGCTCATATGGGTAAGCAGCACAACGAGTCGCCCGAGTAATAAGTAACAATAATAATAATAACAATCATAATGATACGTTCGCAAACGACAACAAAAAATGTCAGAGTAGGCGCACCTTCAAACTGGCGCATAAATAATCTTGTTGACTCTCTGCCCATTATACTCTGTTTGCAAAGGGCAAGTCGGGTATATGGCTTTGTGTTCTCTGACGATGTTATTGAATAAAGACAGTAAATGTTGGACATATGCTTGCATGTAAGAAACTCTCTAATCCAATGTGGAAGATTGAACAAATTTCAAACAATCAGTTTTATATATCAAAAAGATACTGTTTTTAACCAAATCATTTATTGACAAATTAGTTTCATGTTTGTTTCGACAGTTTTTGTTCATGGTTGGAGTTTAATACTGGGCTCGTAACGGTTAAGGCTAAAAGGCTTCGAGCAGAGTATTGCGCAGTCGTTGCAATGTGCATTCGCGTTTTTTTTGGCGACTTTGCAGCTTAATTGTTTTCTTGGCTTGGCTTATGCTTCTCCTTTGCTGCTGACTCACGTACATTGAACTTTTCACCCGTGCCTGTAGACATGTGTATCTGTATCTGTAGCTGGCGCATTGAGTGCCCATCTTAAGTAGATTTAATGACTTGTTCTTTCGTGTGCAGAAAAAAAAAAACTTGAAGAATGAAACATAAATCACATTTATGACAAATGCCGTCAACTGTTGCGCCTGAGCGGGGACTTTTCAAAAGCCCGCCAGGCTCCGATTGATGCATTTGCTTTATGGCATTCCTGAATGCAAATTGCCGTGCTGCGACAACAGTTATATCAGGCAATCAAATGCCACATTGCAGTCAGATAACATTCATTGGTATAAATGTGGCAAGGCATAAGCTAAGCGAAACCCCAATCTCTAAACTACAAGTAAAGCGTCTTGATATCAACGCACTGGCCGCTGCCAGAAGTTGCAACTTGTTAACGCCATTCCATTTCCGCCTGTCATATCAAAATAATTATCTCAAAGTGTTGCTTAGACCAAGTCCTAAGAACCATGACCACGATATGCGGCGGCATCAGCAACAACAAAAACAACAACAACAACAACAGTCGAAGCAGCAGCAGCAAAAGCAATCAGTAACGGGCAACTTTAGTTTGCGTGCGAGGCGGCATTGGTGACTACAACTTGATATGCAGAACTTGTTTTACACGCAATCTTGATTGCAATTATGTAATTCCGAAATGTGCACTAATTAAAATAACATTTCACTTAATTGTATTTACATAACTTTTGAAAGTGCTTATTAATTTGTGTACATTTATTGCTGGCACAGGCCATTGGGTGGTAAGCACTCGTTTCGCAGCTCATCCCACTTAAAATGGAATAAACTGCCAATCAGATTTTGGAATTTAAGTTAAATTAAATAATTTAATTGCCTTCTAACTCACACATTTAAATTCGAATTTAAATTTAACAGACTCGGTGGCGCCATCTATTTATGATACGTCTGGCCACTTAGTTCAACAAAGCTGCCACAGCGTTCGTCGATAATAGTGTTTTCAATTATTATCGATTCCTATCGGTTTAACATTTGCACGGATGAATTTAAGCCCGGCAAAGTTGCCACACAAATTTACAGTAAAATTACCCATATGGCCACATATTTAAGCTCCAACCTGCGCGACATAATCCTTAACACACATGTTCCCTTAGTTTTTCCAGACTTTCCCATACACTGGGAATGCTTTGATGACTCGCTGCTGGATTGGTGCGCTCGCTATGACAAGGATGCAAGTGTCTCCAGTTTGCCAGCATTTGAGAGCATGAGCATCGCAGACTGCGACACGCCACAATGGGAACGGAAGCGAAAGCGTGTCAAAATGACGTTGCAGAAATTTCTACAAGATTTTACAAAGGAAGACCAGGAACCGACTGAGTGGGCCGCTTATCAATATGTACGTGCCAGCGAAATACCCGCAAGCTGCCTGACGGGCATTGATTTCAAGAGCTTTGGATTTGCAGAACACCAGAACGACTATAGCCTCTGGCTGGGATCGAAATGTGCCAATACACCGTGCCATTATGACACCTATGGTGTCAATATCGTGGTGCAAGCATATGGCAGCAAATCCTGGTTACTCTTTCCGCCGGAGACTCCATTGCAAAGCTCACGCATACCCTACGAAGAGTCAAGTGTTTACTGTTTGGAGAACTTCTATGCGCCCGCGCCCGACAAACTGAGCCACTATGAGCAGTTCCAGGGTCAAGCCTATCATTGTCTTCTGCATCCAGGCGATGTGCTGATCGTGCCTCGTCACTGGTGGCACTATGTGGAGGCGGTGGAGACGTCGTTGAGCGTGAACTATTGGGTGCCGCTTAAGACTGACTTGGACTTGACCCTAGATGAGCTCATAGTCAAACATGTGGTCGAGAGCTTTGTCAAAGGTGAGAGCGATCAATTGAAGCAGTATTTATTGAATCCCAATCAGCTGGACGAGATCGCCGACTCAGGTAGCTCACTCTTCAGTCAGTTCGAGCGTGCACTGCAGGATCCAAGCTCGGAGAGCAAACGGAAACTATGGGACGCTGAGTATTTGGGCCAGAGCGAGGTATTCAAACTCCTAAGCAGCGTTGATGTGCGCGTGCGTGCCCTGGACGTAATGCCCAAGGAGGCGTACACACAGCTGCTCACAAACAACGCCAAGCGGCATGGCGCAACCAAGTCGAGCAGTGAGGATAACATTATCAGCTCTACGCTGGAGCAGCTTATCAATAGCATGTGTGCGCCGCGCTGCATTGCGACCATCAAAAGGGAATTCTTTCGCCGGTTGGGCCAAAATCAAAGATTATACCGCTAAGACGGAACGTTTATTGTGATACGTATATGAGATTAAAATCCAATAAGCATTCATTTTGTTATATTTGATACAATTTGAAACGGAACCAAAAAGGGTGGCCGGGGTGCGCGCATTAAATGCCATAACCAATCCAGGTTTAGATAGAATCTAGATTCACGAATAACATAACATACAATAGAGTCGCAGGCTAAACACAGTGCGAGATAATTGATGTGGAATAGAGCTCGTCAATTTACCAACCGGGCGGTTTCTGGTTGGGATAGCCGCCCTGTTGATGAGCAAAACTGCCGGGATAGGTGCCGTAGTGGCCGGGTGGGGGGCCCTGAGGGAAGCCACCATATTGATAATCTGCAAAACATACGAAAATACAGTTAGAGCTAGCTCCATTTAGGCAAAGATAAGCATACTCACTGCCTGGATATGGCAGCGTGGCATAGGGATTGAAGCTTTGCGGCATGGGCGGTGGAACATAAGTGGGATACGGCACATTCGATGAGGCGCCATACGGTACTGGCATGTGCACCTGAGCCGGATACGGCACATTCGCTGCGGCAGCTGTTGCGGGCGGAGCACCAGCGGGCACGTTTGGAAAATCTAGAGATAGATTAAATATTTAACTTTAATTCAAACAGGATTTTAATATTAAAGACAACGCACCGCTGCCGCTGCCCGATGTGGATGCATAGTGTGATGGCAGAGCCGGTGTGGCCGGCGGTGCCTGGCGACTCGATTCAGTGGTCAGATCCTTGAGCAGCTCTTCCTTTTCGGTTTTGCGTGCAAACACAAAATCACTGATCTTATTCTGAAACACAACCAGCAGCTGGGTGAGGTCATTATAGAACTTGGTGCCTTCCTGCAGATTGCCCGACAGCTCGATGTAACTGTCGTAGGCGGATGCCAGCTCCTGGTACAGTTTGTCGCGCGAGCTGCCGCAGTTGCCCGTCTCGGAGACGAAGGCCGCATGAGCACTTTGAATATCGGCGACCAGCGATGCCTGCCGTTCCACACTCTCCTTTACCTGTGCCTGCAGTGGGTTCAGCACTTGGCCAATGCGCGCCAGCGACAAGGCAGGCTCATCGATGGCACCATCCTTTTGTAGAGCAAGTAGAAACTCGTCCTTCATGTTGAACGTGGCCGATTTCAGCTCCGATTCGACAGCGTCGCGCTCCGCCTTAATGGTCTCAACAGCTTCCATTAGCTGCTTTAGACGCTGCACACTGGAGCAGTTGGGATCCACGCTGCCGCTGGCCGAAGGCAGCGACTGTTGTATCTGCTCGGGCGGCAGTGAGAGCAGCTCAATGCCTTTCTGGTTAGCCTCGAATTTCTGCCGCACCACCTTATCCGCCTCGATAGCATTGGTGATGACCTCGCGATACTTCTTGGAATTGGTACGGAACATTTCGGTCAACTTGTCCGAGCTGATGCGCGTCCAGCGCTCCTTAAACTGTGCGCGCAGCTGATTGTCCGAGTCCCGCTCCTCGTCCAGCAGCCGCTCGGTTTCATCTAATATCTCGCGATTGCGATTGAGCAACTCGGGCAAATCCTTTAGCAGTGTCTGCACATTCTCAATGCCGCCCTTTTCGCGAACCTCGTGGGCCTTCTCTCGCAGTGAAGGCGGCAGACCGCTGCTGCCGTCCGTTATCTCCACAGCAGCCGGCAGATTCAAACTGGCCAGCACGGCATTCAAGGTCTGGGTTGCATCGCGCAGCTTCATGATTTCCGCATTGACAATCTCGTTTTTGCGCATATCGGACGCGGTCAGTGCGCGATGCAGCTCAACGGGCACCAGATTGCTAAAGATGTCCCTAAAATTGCCAGACATGGGCGTGGCCATGGGCAGCGGCTTGGCCAGCTGCGCCTTGCCGGGCGAGGCCAAGGTACTCAGCTCTGGTATCATTTCATTGTAGATGAATTCATTGTCCTTGGTGGACTCGGCGAGGTTGCGTTTGGCGCGACTGAAGTACTCATCCAGGTAGGTCTCGTTGCCGCCACGGGACTGGGCTGCTTTGAACAGATCGATGGCATTGCGTAGGCGCGCAATCTCCTCGCCAATCTTTTTGGACGAACGACAGACCAGACTCTGATACAACTGCGTTAGTGCATGGAAGCCTGCCTGCTTGCCAGCAACTGTGGGTATCCACTCCTTCTCCCAGAGACTGCGAACGGACTCCTTTTGCATTGCTCGCAGCACATCAGCATAGAATTCCTCACCCTGACAGCACAACTTGGATATGATCTGTTCCTTCATGTTGTCTGCGGAAAGTGGAGATAATTAGTATGCTAATTATATTTGTATGTCGAAGCTGTTTCACCCTTAATAGCCTTCAGTATGAACACCTCCTGAGCTTGTGCCACCATCAAGGCCTGGAGCACAATCAGCGTATCCTGACTCAAGTCTGGAGTCGGCTCTGAGGGCACAGCTGCGGGCGTGGCGCCCTTTAAATACTGGAAGATGCCAGCGCTTTGCTGCAGCAGCTTGATAGCCAGCTTGAGACCCTCATCCGTGTCTAGCTGCTGACTAGAAGCCACACTGCTCTGGAGTGCGGCAATGTTGAAAAGCACGCACACCTTCTCGTACTGCAGCGAGGTGTGAGCTGAAAGTTAAGAAACGTTATTAAACCGGTTGCTTATTTCGTCATAGGCACAAGACTTACTCAGACTGATTTTGCCACCGAAAATGGAGCCCTTGTCGAAGGCATCTTTCCACTTGAAGGGTATCTGCAGCTCGCCAGCGGATATCTTTGTCTCTAATGCGCATATTTGATCGTAGTAGCTAAAATAAATAAAAGTGAAACCAAACGCCAGCGGCGGCCTATTAGAGACGACGTCATCCGCTTTTTGATTGTGTTTACGTCTGGCTCTTTCACACACGCACACAACTCACTCACACACACGCACACACACACACACATGATTAATTACAGCTACTTGAATGCTATCAACCGCCATGAGTCATGGAACAATTTTAATATCAAACCATAAACAACCTATCAGGAGTTCTTCTACCTGATCGTATATTAGACTTACGCATAAACGACTTCCAGCGATGCCTCATATTTTTCGAAAAACTTCCAAATTGCAGTATTGCGTTGCTTTGAAAACTCATTTACTGCGTCCGCATACTGCGCCTTCTCCTCGGCGCTGGCACCATTGTAGGTGCTTTGTATGAGATTGTTCAGGGGCTTTATTATGTCCACCTCTGACGGCTTCTTTAGTGGCACACCCAGTAGTTTAGACATCTTGTATGTTAATTTTTGCTACGAAGTACTAGTAAAATTTAATTTGCAGACGGAAACTAGATTTTCTTCTTTTTTTGTGTGCTGCCCGCTGTCTCATCAACAGCTGCGGCCAGTGTTGTTGAACATTTAGACAATTGGTGAGTAATTCTGCAAATGTGCCGCGCAGCTGTTAATAATAGAACACTTCTGTTAAGTGTGGAGCAGTTTTACTAGTTGTGGAGTAATTATGTTAATGGTGCCATTTTTTCAGCATTTTTTTTAAAATGGAACAATCTTTAAAGAAAATTTTAACGGTAATCAAAAACTAACTTTGCTTTATTTCGCAAGCATCTTTTTTGTGCATCTAATTCTTAGCAATATATTATTTTTTTCTACATGAGGCCTGTGCATATTTTAACTAAAAGTTTGATTATTCCATCCAGAGATTTGATGACAAAAAACACTAAATTCGCATTCTCCATTACGTTTTGTGTACTTATTTAAACTGTTCAGCAAGATTCATTTCACGCACTATTGTAATAATGCTGAATGCAAACTTGGCCACCTAAAAGTATATATAAATATTCAATTAATTTATTTGTCAATTTCAGATATGAGCTTACGCTGATATTGCTGTTCATTGTAATGGGAATAATGCCACCTGCCATAAACATAATGGGCTGTTGAGCTTGGTGCATGAAATGAGTCAGTGTGGATTTATAACGAGACTCTGCATCAATCCATTTAGACTGAAAAAGCGCGTTTGACAAGTCATCGCAGTCGTCTAGGAGCCAATTGCACGTATAGCAGAAGGGAAATGTCTCCATGAGTACTGCCACGACAAACATGAACGAGGCCAGGCCACGCCATAAATTTGAGAAAAAGAATACGTTGATCAGGCTCAGACCCAAGACGGAGCCAATGAGTCCAAACTGCACAAAAATCGTGCCCGATATTACTGGACGTAGCATATTGCAGCATCTGGTACAGAAGAAAATATTGCAAGGAATTCAGGAGACACAATCTGTCATGCGTCAAAATCTTACTCCTTAATCTTCTTGTGATCCTTGATGCAATTAACTATCTCTTCATAGTTTTCCTGCTCCGACATGTTGGGATCAATGCGTAGATTGCGCACATGATCCTTTAACACATCGAAGTGTCCGCGAATTATGATGAGGAATACAAGGAGATATGTGTCGGCCAATTGATCTGTCATTACCGCAAAGGACATTATGATATACTCAAAGATAGCTTGTATCCACAAATTACGCGTGCTCTTGTGCCAGTCAAGAAACGGATTGTAAACTGACCATGGCGGCCTACCGCTGAACACATAGGACAGAAACGTGGAGCCCACATAGACACAGTATACAATGGTGAAAATCAGAAAGACCAAGTTGCTGCGCGCCACTATACCGTGCATCTTCTGACGATCACTGTCGCTCCGCGCCCGCTTGTCCAGGCAATCCATTATGACCTCTGTCTTGGTAAGACGCCACAGATTACGGTACAATATAGTGGCCTTTACTGCGGTACCGAACACGTTGAGGGCCACCTGCAATGAGGTGAGAAATTCATCGGGCGTAAAGTTCTTGAACTCCAGCACATAGCTCATAGCAAATCCTGCGGACAGATAGACAGTTCCAAAGCCGAATGTTATGAAGGTCCAGCAAGTGTACAAATAGCGGATTAGACCATCCTTTGGTGGTAGCCAGCCCATTAGCCACATGGCCCGATACATGTAGATGCAACCAATTCGAGAGTTAATTGGTTCAGTCAGTGGCGCTGGCTTTATTAGCCTAAACAATGATGACTCCATTGCAAATCCTGTC